AGAGAGAGAGAGAGAGTAATATTCTAGTACAAGTAAATATATGTGTTTCCCAATCTACAAATCCTAGGGCATTGCACCCTATATATACACATATTCCTATAGGGGTTACACTATGGGTAGGTTAACATGCAAAAGAATTCTAACCATTACAGCTGGAGCTACAATAGCTGTTACAACAGGTTCTAATGGGCATGAGCTCCATTATTCATAGGAGTTGCAGGTTTTAATCTACATGAGCCCATAACACCATAACAGCCACTTCATGAGGCCCATTATGCATAGAAGTTACAGCTGTTACATAGGTTTTAATGGGCATGAGCCCATAACAGTTGCTACAAATACAATATGTTCGATACACGACTTTCATTACACACTAATGGGAGTTTTGCCCAGAGAGAGGAGGGCCCTGGGAGGGGAGGGGGGCGCGTGCTATAGTTTCTTCCTTTCTCCACCCCTTCAGGCTATAGCAAGGAACTTCTGTGTGACAAGTGGAGACAATCTAGGGCTCGGTCCAGGTGAAGGCTGGCTTGTTTCCCGGCAGAAGATGGAGATACTATGGGCTTTTGCATTTGAATGTTGATTTATGGAACCAAAACTTCGACAATGCATTAATCATATTGTTGTTCAGAGTGCAAATAAACTATGGAAGACAATCATCTCCAGTTATAGTTTCCAAATAAATAAAATCAAAATCCATAAATATTTCAGCCAATTTGTAAGTCACATATTTCTGCGCCTAGAATATTAGTATTTCATTTTGTGATACTATGATTCCAAGAAAAATAGATCAAGGTTCTATGGGGGTGGAAACAACACTCGATGTTTAATTAGTTCGTCGTTTATTGCATCTATGAAATGCAGTACTTATTGTTCAGGAATCTGGATTAAAAAACAATCAAATCGAGCATCGTCATATGCGCAAATCAGTTTCAACAAGTGTAGAGTCAGTATTCACCAATTACGGAATCGAGAATCAGTAACTATTTGAAAGAAGATTCTATAAGTGTGGGCATCAAGATTCCTAACATAAAGAATCAAGAATCTAAACTTCACGAAAATAGGTCGCATGAAGATTCCTTGTCAGAATCGCTGAATCGAGGTTCCGAATCAGAATCTCAACCTATGGTGAGAGATTCGGGTGACCATGCATATGATTAAAGAACCACCAAATATACCCCAAACATATACTGTTATTAAAAAATGTAAAATAATTCATATATCTCATTAACATGCACTAGTCCTGCAAAGCGTACTCCATAATGGGTAGCGAAGGCCCATAATGGGTAGCGAAGGCCACTAGAAGCACCCACAATGCAGCAAACTACAATTACAGGAGGCAGTACATGAGTTAAGTTTCAAGAGATTAGAACAACTCCATAATTACAACTACTATATGAAAACAGGAGGCTAAAAAGTTAGTGCACATTGGAATCCTGCAGTTACTAGGACTTGCAGCAGCTTCTGATCTATCATACACTTATAACAATCTTTATTTGACGTTGGAGCTATAACATATTTACATCTAGAGATCATATCCTATGGAATTTATTTCTTTTTCCTTTATATGATTGATAATTTCATTAAGATCTATCAACTATATCGACCAAAATCAGCATTAAGAAGTAGTGTGTGTGGGCTTGTTTTTGAGCTCCTTATAATTTTCTAAATCCATCAAGTGGCTATGAAACACAAAGACTTTAGATCAGGTTGACAGAAAACAAAAACCAATCCATTGTATGTAGTAAAGCAAAATTCAGTATGCAAAACCGAAGAGATAATTCAAGCATACACAAAGATGAAACTACAAAAGCAAACAGGTGCACATTATAAGAATTCCGGATCAAAGAGAGCACAACTGGGACTGGCAACACATGGAAATAAGAGAGATCAACATCTCTGATTTAAAGAGAAGAAAAATAGAGGCTGCCCAAGACAATGCCTCTTGCTTGGTCAACCATAGGTAGTCTAATCAAGAAAAAGAACTCAAGGTTAATATAACCATGTTCCCTTGTCAACAGGAAACAACCAAGGATGGAAAGCACATTGACAAGTGATGTGACTATTTTAAAAAGACATGTTTTCTCTGTGGCAAATTTTTGCAGTAAATATTTGTATAGTACTAACAATTAGGATACAGAAGCAACATGTTCCCATATTATGCACACGAGATCCATTGGAGATAGGAGCCCTAGAAATATACCAATATTCAATTGTCATCTGCTTCAAGCGAGTTTCGAGTTTTTGTAGCACAGAGGTCCTCTCAAAGTCCTGCTTATCATGAGCAGGTTTGATAAAATTTGCTTCCAGTACACCTGATTGAAACAGCAGTGAGTTATTGCTACAATCAATACAAACTGCAACAATTGTTTGTTGAGAGGGTTATGCAGCAAGAAGAAAACAGTGCATAGGGTTCTCGATAGACAAAGCAGATTCCTACTTAACCAATAAGTTTTATCAACACCCATGTACATAGGTGGAATTGTGCTAGCCAGTATATACACAGCAGTTTGAATTGGATAAAGTGCAAATAGAAAAACCATGGGGCAACCAAATTAAAATGGGAGGTAGATTCTCACCAACAACACCCCTCCCTTTATTGCCACCATGCTCATTCACAACTCTCCAGAAAGGCTGTAAGGAAAAGAAGAGTAACAAAAAACATTCCCATGATGAACATAATAACATAAGAGGAAAAAAGTACTAAAGTTTAGAGCTTCTAAAAGAATTTTTCTACGTGTGCACGTGTCTACCAAATGAAAAATAAAATCAATATTTTAAAAAATGATAAGGTGCGGTGGATTGCCTACCCTCCGAGCCAGACCCGCATTGGCTAGAGGAGTTGGCTAGAGGGCTTTGAAGATACATGAGAACTGGAAGTTCAAAATCCAGCATCACACCCTTTTTATAGTTTAGAAAAAAACAAGTGTTTTTAGTTACAATTGGGGGGGGGGAGGGGAGTATGGGGTCATTGTCATAGGGAAAAAGACAAATTACAGGGGTTAATGTCAAAGGAGAAAAGAAGAAAGTAGACTTCACGGGGTTCAAACCCTGAACCACCTTGTAAAAAGCGGTAAGAGCTAATCAATTGGTTAGTTTTAGCTCTAGGAGATAAATCGTATGTTTTAATAAATCTTACGAATCACCGATTCCGACCAAGAATTATCTCGGTCCAGCGACCCTAATCAGGATCAACGATTTCCAATTAGTCAGCGTCTTTTTAGGCACTATGAAAGACAAATATTCTTAAAAAAAATATATTAGTAAAACAAGAATAATTTTGGGGTGGTACTTTAAATATGGGGACTTCTGGCTTCACTGAGGATATGGCCTTTAATAGAGCAGAATGGAGACATAGAGCTGACCCCAATTAATTGGGAAAAGGTTAAAATGATGATGATGATGACTTTAAATTATGAAATGGAGTGTCCTTTCTATTTTCTTTGGCTAACATATCATTATCATTAATGCTCCTCCTCCTATTTATTTTAACCACTAGGACCAAAACTGAGTGGAAATAATACATATATGTCGCACTCCATTAAGAAAGAGAACACACCTACGATCTCTTAAAAATAACCCAAAAAATATATCATAATCACTAAGGGATGTCAACAAACTAACCAGCGAGAAGTTGCGATCATACATGAACCCCGCAAGTGAACTCAGGAGTTGTGGAGGGCATGACACCCCCCCCCCCCCTCTCTCCAATATAGACATGTACACGTGTCGGTGATATGGTTCATCTACATATACAACAAACCCCATCCCATGAGTCACATGAGACCTTTCTCTTTTCCTTGACCACCATATCATTGTCACTAATGCTCCTTTTTCCATGTATTATTCTTTTTGAAAGTGTCAACTATTGTATCAAGTAAAGAGTATAACAAGAGATTGAGCAGCCACAAAGGCGGTGCTCCGTAGCGAAAACCCCTTATTGGGCCCACAAAATTGTATACATCCAAAATATAGACAATTCCAACAAAGGATAAACAAAAGGCGGGGCTCTAGTTCTCGAAAAGGTGCCCAAAAGACCCCTGAGAATTCTGTTGTGTGACGCCTGCCTTGGTAAAGGCATTACCTATGGCTTTGGCTTCGCAAGTATGTCGCCAGACAACGTGCATATCCCTACATAGGTGGAAGATTTCGTCAAAAATGTGATCCAATCGGCAACAACATGGGGAAGATATGGAGGCCTAGGCTATAATGTTCTTGGAGTCCTCTTTTATCATCAAAATGAGACCCCAAATAGGATTGAAGTTGTGTAAACCTTTGAGAAGGGCTACTGCCTCCACAGTGTTGGAGTTGGTGTGACCAATGAAACGGGAGAAGGGGAACAGGGGTAATGTCACCCTTTTCTCCGAAAATGCCTCCAATGCCATAGGGGCCATGGCTACTAATAGATGCAGGTAATCCTAAGATTCAATAGATTTTACCAATTGTGGTGAAAGTCTGAGGGGAGAACAGTTGGAAAGTGGTGGAGTTTTTCTCTCAAAAAGTGACCAAGGATTTGACCACAACTAACCAAACAGCTGGAGATCTTCTCCCACAACCAACCACACAGCTGGAGGTCTCCCCAAAGGGTTCTTGATGTCTTATAGTGGATGAAGCGGTGAACATTCGTCTCTTCCTCTACAACGCATAAGACGCATCTGTTAGGTAATGGCAATCCCTTCATTAGATTTTTAATGACAGTAGGCCTACATCATGGGTAAGTGTTGAGCCCATATCTCCTTGCTGTAGTTATAGATGAGTTAATTAAGCATCTACAGGATGAAGTATCGTAATGTATGCCCTTTGCGGATGAGATAGCTTTGATTGATGAGACTACACACCATGTCAACACAAAGGAGTTTGGAGTTAAAATTAGTGAGACTAAGACAAAATATATGGAATACAAGTTTAGTAATAATAAGGGTGGAAACGAAGAATTAGTTACGATTGATAGCCAAAAAGTACTTAAAAGATATTATTTTCAATATTTTTGGTTGATAATCGATGAGTACGGCTGGCAATGGGTTGGGTATGGGTCGGGTCCCGTTGGACCCGGACCCAGACCCAAAATAATACCATGTGTACCCGGACCTGAACCTATACCCGACGGCTCCAAAATAAGCATATCCGTACCCGTACTCGAGAGAACAGTTTGGACCCAAGGCCCATGTTGGCTTTATGACCTTTCACGGCTGTAATACTAGGAATACCTCGCTTAGTGGGAGTAAGTGAGAGAGAGAATCTGGGTTCTTAACGACCTGGGGCCCAGATTCACATACCCCGTGTTATGAGGCATTGAGAGTTTGGGTTTTGAGAGAGTAATCTCTCGGGGAGGTGAGAGGGTCACGTCCAAGTCAGGACAATATTGATTAGGATGCCTCATAGTATTACTGTGATAGGCCAAGGCTTGAAGAATCCAATCGAGTACAATAGAACCCCAGTATTTATTTAATATTGCCCCGTATGGAATGGTCATGGCTTATGGGACATGAGCCAGTATCCTGACAAGAGACCGTTTCATGGCATATGCACTTCCAACCGCATGGGAAGCCACTCTTCTATGGTATTATCCGGCTTAGAAGAGCAAATGCACATGTGCTTTGAGAGGACTCTTGTACTTGAGTAGGAACATGTCCAACAGGGGTGCACCAGCTATAGTTACCCGAATCGCCTATGTGGGTAGCAATTCCGTTTCGGAATCTCAATTCGGCGTTTCCCCAGGCGAAAGTCGATTGTAAAAGAAAGGAACCATGTTTCCATTTTTTACGGAACACGATTCCACCTAGTTTAGGAATCTTGATTCCTAGATTGCCGGAATCAAGATTCCATATCAAGGACTTTATGATTCTTAGCTACACAAGAATGAGATTCTGCTTGTAGGAAACGTTGATTCCAAAATTTTTGGAATTGCGAATCTATGTTGTTTGGAATCAAGTTTCAATATCGCAGACATCGTGATTCCTTGCTACACAACTATGCGATTCTAGTTATACTAAACATTGATTCAAAGTATTAAGGAATTGCAAATCCATGTTGTCAGGAAGCAACGTGCGCTTAAACCCTTCGATGTGTGCTCAATCATGAGTGAGCGCGACATTTATGAGAGCATGAGAGAATTTGACGTTGTTGCACACGGCAAAAAAATCAAAATTTAAAATATGAGTAATATGTGAGCATAGAGAGAGCAGAAACCCTTCAATGTGTGCTCAATCATGAGTGAGCGCGACATGTATGAGAGCGTGAGAGAATTTGAAGTTGTTGCATACAGCAATAAAATAAAAATTTAAAATATAAGTAATATGTTAAATTTTTTATTTTCTTATTTACTAATTTCCATCCTTCATTTCATTTTACTTTTTAAGAACTCTTACCAAAAATAAATAATACTAAAAAAATATGTTACTTCAAATTTAATAATGTTTGGTAAATGGTTGGGTACTAAACTACAAATGTAATAATGTTTAATATATGATCGGAACCGTCATTTCATCAATTTGAATAAGAGGATAAATATGCTTTTCTTTAAGTAAAATAAGAAGATAATAAGGATATGAGCGAAGTGCCCTGTGTAGGTTTTAGGTTAAATTAATCATTAAATATCTGAGAAATTGACTAAGAATTGAATAACTCAATTTTCAAATGTCAAAAGACTCAAAATTACATTTAACAAAGAAAAAATACTCTGTCATGGACTTATTTTATAATTCAAGGAAAAGAGATAAACGGAGCTTGCTCTTCTTCTCACAAATTGTAGGTCGTAGACTAGCTCCAAACCTTGTAGGCAAAATACGGTTATCGATAGACCGAGTCCATTGTATGGGATTGTCCACAAATATATCATAAAGGTTGACATTAGTACTTGGAGTCTTGGACTAAGTATATACAGACCAAAATTCGATCTTGTAGTAATGGGCAAATTTATATATATTTTCTAAATACTTCTCTCATGTACCGGACGGAATTGGTTCACAATTCCAGTAAGAGGAGAATCTCAATTCCAATATGGGAAGAATCACGATTCTTGAATGGTGAGAATGTTGATCCCAAGTTGATGGGGGCAACGATTCTAGAATTTTAGGAATCACAATTCCATATTTTGAGGAATCATGATTCCAGCAACCACAAAAACAAGTGAGGTCATGTGTGATTCCATATAGGTATAAAATGCGATTCCAACATGAAGGGACATCGATTCTTGCAAATAGGAAACACGAATCCTAATTTTTTGAATCGTGATTCCAAAATAGTGAGAATCATTTTTCTCAAAATCGTACGGACGTTTCGGATTCTAGAAATGATTCGAAGTCACAGACGTTTCCAACAACTATAGCACCAACAATCCGTTGTGAAACTCGATTACAGGAAACTCTGGCTCAGCGACTTTGATGTGATTAATTATGTGTCCCTATCATAGACCGTGGAGCATAGATCCATTGGGTCGGCTTGAGATAACGGTGGAACGTCATTTGAGACTAACCCAATGGAAGAGATTACTAATGTTAAAAGCAGTGTTTTAAAATGCGACCGCATCAAGCGGGATGCGCTCGCATCCATATCCCGTTCGGGCGCATATGCGCTTTTGACAGATGCGGCTGCATATGCGCCGCATCAGGCCGCATCATGGCCGCATCCTGCAT